CATTAATCTTAATCCAATATTGAGGTGGAGGGTGCCAAGAGGTTTGAAACTCTCAAGCGAGATTAGCACCCCAGCTATCAATGACAGGATTAAGATTGTTACCTGCAGAATAAAGCACAGAAGCCTCTAGAATAGGAATGGAAGTTGATGTTTTCCCATGCTTAACAGCATTTCTGTTCTTCCAATTTTGGTTCACCACATTGCAGTAAAGACTAACTGTGTTTGGTGTAAGAGTAGAGAGGATTTTCAGCTCAGCTAAACATTCATTCATGGATTCAAAAATCGGAACAAAGACCACCCATTTTTGGATTTGTTTAAGGATTTTCTGCAACTCTTTACATCTAACAGTAATATGCTCCAGATTTTCACATTTTGAACAACCTCTAGCACAACGTTCATCCTCAGTAAGTTTCCTATACTTTAAAAACTCATTGGTAGGAATAGCTTCGTTACTCACCCTCCACCAGAAAAGATCAACACGAACATATAGTATTAATTTCCTCAAGCAATTGTAAAAACCCAAGTCTTCATTACTATTATTCTCCTTCCTAGAAGCTGCAACAGCACGGGCTGTTATAGTTTTCCTAGATGGAAAACTAATTTCCTCCAAAAAAATCTTCAATGGCATCCATGTCTATAGGTATCTGCATCACCACAGTAATGATTTCTTCAGTAAAAAAAAACCTTCAATTCTTCTAGATTCCAGAAGCCATGATCTGTAATGAAATGTTTGACTTTTAACCCATCCATATCTACACAATTCGCTGTAATTGGCCATTCACTTAAGCTTTTATCTAAGAGCCAAATGTCCTTAAGAGAATCAATTTTCTTCCCATTAACCACTCTCCACCTCAAAAGATGTTTTAAGTGAACAACACATTCATTCAAGACCTTCCAAGCAATAGATTTGCCTTAACTATTGCATCCACGCCACCAGCTATCACCATATTTGGCAGTTATAACTTGATATAATAAAGAGTTTTGATTATTCAGCAGTCTCCAGGTTAGCCTTTCCTTGAGAGGACCAGTTCTAATCACTGCCGAGTGGAAATTCAACCCTCCTTGATCTTTTGGTTTACACAATTTGTTCCAAGCAATGTAGTGCAAACCCTTTTTTCCATCCCTTTTGTGCCAAATAAAATTCCTGCAACACCTATCAATCTCATGGAGGATTTTTTTTTGGAACCAAAGTGTGGGCAGAAATGAAATTAGGAAGACTTAAGAGGGAAGTCTTCGCAAGAGTCATTCTCCCTGCCAAAGAAAGGCATTTACTACCCCAAGTATTCAATTTAAGCATCACTAAATCCAAAATAAATTTGAAATCAGTTCTAACCGGTCTTCTCAACATCAATTTGATTCCAAGATATTGAAATTCTTCAACAATTTTAAATTTCAGAATTTTCTTCACCTGTAACATATCCATTCTATTCATCCCCTTACTGAACAAAATTTGAGATTTTGCATTGCTAACCCTTAATCCAGTCCATGAACAGAAATCCACAATAATTTTATGCATCTTGGCAGCAAGATTTTTGGAAGCATGAGAGAAAAGCAAAACATCATCAGCAAATAACAAGTGACTAACCTTATGAGCTCTTTGTGAAATCTGAATTCCTAATTCTTGACCTCTTTGCTCCATAGCTAAGGAAAAAAGCTGAGAACACAATGTACAAATATGGCGATAAAGGGCATCCTTGTCTAAAGCCGTTCTCTACACTAATCCAATTGGATGTTTTATCCTAAACCCTAATTGGAAGGTAAAGTAGGCTTCTTAATTTTGGGGATAAGAACTAAAAGTGTATTCTTCAACTCTTTATACATAATGCCGGACTTAAAGAAGTCATTAATAGCCTTCCAAGTGTCTTCCCCCATAATCTCCAAATAAAACTTGAAAAAAGAAGTGGCAATGCCATCTAAACCAGGGCATTTATTATTACCTTGCTTGAAGATAGCTTCCGTTAGTTCTTCTTTGGTGAAATTCATGATCAGAGCATCAGCATCCTCCTTGGAAATAATCAAATTTTCCGGACAGGAAGGCTAACCCGAAAGCATACAAGTTCTGGCTGACCATTTTTTCTGAAAAAATCTGTAGAAAACCATTTCAATTTGTTCCAAATCTTCCACCACAGTCCCATTATCATCTTTAATCTGCCAAATCATATTGCCGTTCTTCTTCGCTAAAGCATACTGGTGAAAAAAATTAGAATTTAAATCTCCAACTTGTTGCCATCTGATTTTGGATCTTTGGTTCCACCAGGTGGACAGCCTACTCAAAGTAACATTGAGAATATGAACTTTATTCCTCAATAAATTCAGTTTATCTTCCATTAATCCTCCTTCATTAGCTTCTTCAATTTGTAATAACAAAATGTCTTTCCTCAACTCTTCCCTTAAAGAATTCAATTCTCTACACTTATTTTTATTCCAGTAATAAAGAGCTTTAATAGATCTCAACTTTCTTTGAAGAATTTCAGCACAAGATCCAAAATCCATTCTTGCCCAAGCTTTGAGAATAATATTCCAAGTGGCTGGATAACTCTTCCATGTGTCTTCAAATCTTAAGAGACCCGAATTATGTTTTTGATGATCCACTAGATTGATAGATATAAGAGCATGATCCGAAGCAACTCTAGGCAAGTGATGTACCTTAGCCATAGGAATATTGTGAAGAGCCATAGAATTTAAGAGACATCTGTCAAATCTCTCCCATATTCTAGAATTCCCTTCCTTGTTATTACACCATGTATAACTAGGACCCACAAATCCTATATCATGGAAGTCATTATTAATCATAAACTTCTTCATATCTTTAGATCTATTGGAAAGATGGAACCTCTTTCCACCCCTCTTGTCTTCCTTAGAGAGGATACAATTAAAATCCCCTCCTATGATACAAGGCTCATCACCACACATACGGTCTTCAAGCTTGTTCCAAAGAGATCTACGGGTTTGAGCATCTTTACCTCCATAAACAGTTGCAATGTTCCATTTACCCAAAGCATTGATGTTGAGCTGTCCCACTATTACTTGAGACGAATGATCAACAATTTCAAAATAAGCAAACCCTTTTTTCCACATGACTAGGATGCCACCTGAAGTACCAATCGCAGGATGATGGAAATAATCCCATTCTCTCCCAATAATTTGGTTAATATCATTCCTTTAAATAGAAGAAATCTTGGTTTCAATCAAACCCACAAAAAAATAATTATGATCTTTCACAGCTTCTCTCAAATATAGGGAGGCCTCCCTCTTTCTAGCCCCCTACAATTCCAACAAATAATAAAAGCCATTAAGCAATAATAGGGGAAATATTCCCTACCATTTTGTTGTTTTCCTTGACTCCTCTTCTCTTTCTTTGGTTAGTTTCATAGGGCCCAAAGACCTCAATTCTTTTGAAACCTTGCCTTTCCCTGAATTAGAAGTTGATACCAACTGGTCTTCACAAATCTGTACATTATTAGTAGCCTGTAATTCTGGAGAAATACCAACTTCAACAGAATCCAAAAGATTGGATTTATTCAGCAGCTCCTCATTAGTCTTCTCAACAAATTCTCCCTCCTCCAAATCACAATCCAAAATTTGGAATTTATTCAAAGCAATAGGTATTTCCTGCACCCTGAATTCTTCAATTTCTATCACAGTTTCAGGAATTTTATCCATCATTCCATCTGGATTAAGTGAATCATCCAAATGTTCAGTAGCCTTTACCTGTTTAACAGATCCAACAAGTCTAAACACCTGTTTAACTTGAGTATTAACTCCAATATTCTTTCTAGCATTTTTGAATCTTCTACTTTTAAAGTTAACATGGATCCACGAGCCATATTCTTCCTCTTGGTTTTTATTTCCATCAGCCTTCACAACATCACCCTGTTTCATAGCCTCCTTGGTATTCATAATGCTTTTCTCCATATTCAACACAGAAATAGAATCAAGATAGATATTCTTATTGTGACCAACTTTACCACATTGATAACAAAGGGATGTCAGCTTTTCATATTCCACACGTTGAAATGTCCTGCAATAAAGACCTTCAATCCACACTCCCTTAGGGATTTTATTCTCCAATTCAATTCGAAAGCACCATCTAGCGTATTCTCTCTTCCCCCATTTAAATGAATTCCCGTCAAGCATCATGGGAACTCTGATCATAGAAGCAATCATGGGAATATTTTCCTCATCCTAGCAGCTCAAAGGCAATCCAGGAAACGGAATCCACACTAGAGAAGTAAAACCCTTTAGCGACTCTATGGAGAAGGAAGATGACCATCTATCCATACCGATGATATGGTTCCCAATATACCAGGGACCCCCACTTAAAACTTCCTCCATGGATTCCATGTTGGCAAACTTACATAAATACTCCATTGCCGTCTAAGTTCTCGATTACAAACTAAGAACGGAATGTCTTGTCCCAGAACCTTGATAACAAATGATTTCTTCAACACCTGAGAATTTTTTATTTCCTTATCATTGTTTAGCTTAACCACCAAACCATCTTCACTCAGCTGGGTAGAATTAACATTAAAATTCAATTTGATGTGTTGCGTCTTTTTCCAGGCCGAAGCGAAATTGTTAACATGAGCAGTATCACTATTTGATTTAACAACCTCATCCGATTTATCTCCATCTTTTTTTAAAAGCATTCATAAGATTCATATTAATCTATTTTTGGTTTTCCGAAATAATCAACCCAACACGATTCTTCACCTTTAAATCAACATCTGAAGATAACGCCTCTATATCCAATTTGAAGAAAACCCCTGTATCAATTCATCTTCCATAATTCGATCAATAACGATACCTTTTCCTTTCCCTTCCACAATCGGCTCTAATCGTGCCAGATGCCTATAACCTTCTATGATTACCAAGTTAGAAGAAACCCTGGACGCTTCTTGATCCAAAGAACCCCCGTGATTTCTGCTAGATCTGCAGGATGATATTTTATCGTCCTAGATGAAATGAATAAATTTCTTATGATTGTCTAAGATCATCCTAGTTGATTGAACTTAATTTGTACTGATCATACAGGATGATATTTATATTGTCCTGGATGATAAAGTTGGTAAGTTGCTATTAATGAGCTATTCTAAAGCTATTCTATTTAAGAGCACTTATTCTATCCTTTAGAACATCTTTTGCTACTATTTTGACCTGAGAAAGCCAAGAGGAGAGGAAGAGCAAGGGAGAGAGAGTGAGGGTCTTATGAGGGGGAGTTTGTGAGGGGGTTCACAAAGGTTGCTCCAAGCAAGGATATATGGTTTTCTTCTCCAGTCATTGTCCTTAGTTCCTTGGGGGTACTAGAGAGGTAAACTTTAGCATCTAATCAAGGTTCTCTTCTTGCTTCAGGAGGAAGAAAAAGGAGTTGGGTTATCTACCTTCTTCTGGAGGAAGCAAAAGGAGTTCGGTTGGTGGAAAGGAGGTTTATAAAGGCTTCTCCACCTTGCTGTGGGGTAAAAGGAAAGACACTGAGTTTATTGCAATACTCAAAGGGCACCTCCGAGGAGTGGAAGTAGGTTGTGTTGACCGAACCACTATAAATTTCTTTGTTCTGTATTACTGCTTCCGCATCTAATTTTTGCACTTTGATTTCTGTGGTGAATCTTAGTTTTTGTTTTAAGATTGTGTTTTGATCAAAAGATTTTTTAAAATACCATTTCACCCCCCTCTTGGTTAGCCTTGGGTCTAGTTCATAAGGGTTTAACATCCCTAATGAACTTTCAAAGAATACCTGTTCATAATTGAAGATGTTGGATTACCTCCCATTTCATAAACAAACCTTCAGACAATAACGATCCACCATTACATGGTAACAACACACACATAATTTTCTTGAACAACCATTGATCACACACCAAGATCATTATCGATCCAAAAAAAAAAAAAGAACAACGAAGAATTTGATCAAATCCAATCACCAGATACCACACAGAAAAACACTTTTAAATCCAATATGAAATCCACAACCAGATCCTCCGTCGGCCACAATGGGAAGACGGAGAACCACCGGTAGTAAAGGATCCGCCAAAATCATCTTCAAAATCACCTTTGGAGTAGAGTGGAGCGGGACCTGAGTAAGATATGGATTGAGCTAGGCAAGAAATTAGAGTTTTTGCTATGAAACAAGAGTTCAAGTTACTTCTCTTCTTACAAACTTGTAAAAGACATTTTTTAGTTTCTATTTCCCATTCTTACTATCACATTGTTAGGTTTCACCACTTTTTTGCATTTATATGTTTGTGTACCATCACAGGCATAGGTAACATCTTAAAATGACCCCACACAGTGGAAGTCATCCTTATTGTTTTCTTTAAAACATTTTCTTTAACATTGTCATCACAAATATCAACTTCATCAACATAATAAGTGTTTATTTGAACTTTATATCCTTCATTAATAATATGAACATTTTCAAGAATATAAGAACTATCAACAATAGTATTGGAGTCCTCCATCTAACAAATAAAGTAAACATTGTTATTACTTATTAGTCTTATTAGTCTTATTAGATATAAAAGAGTAGTACAAGTAGTGTAGTACAAAATTGAACAAGTAAACAACCAAAGATTATCTACAACTTAACCAAAGGTCCAAGACTCCAAAACTTTGCCAATGACCTAATAGGCTAGTATTATGTAACATGGAATGAACTAGTGAACCAAAACACTAAGGAACTCCATAATAAGACAACCACAAAACCTTAGAATAAAGAGAACCATGGTAATATTAAATATTTAAAACTACAAAAGATGAAAATTAATAGAACTACAAAAGGATAAAGAGTCAGAGACTATAGTTTATAAAATAATACTAGCATATCACAGATGATAGAATTACCATAGGACATAACTACACAATACATAAAACTACATAAGCATAACTTCATCAAGTCAATAATATAATAACACTGCAGTAGTGAGCCTGTGATTGTTAATACAAAACTATGAAAACCCAAACATACTAACACTACTATAATGACAGCTTGTAGAGTAACAAATATAATATAAAAAAACCCCAAAGTCTAAAACATGAATTTTGGGAAATAAATAAAAAAATATAAAACACTAATTTAAAAAAACCCTAAAATTCTTAAAGAATGTTTGCAAAAACTAGAAGATGAGGTGAGAAAGCATAAATCCTAACTCCCAAAAACCTCTATATCAATCAACACAAAAAAAGTAGAAAACCCTAAGTAGGAAAAGTGATTAAAAATTCAAACAAAGAAATTGATGTAATTTATTAGGCCCATGAACTTCCTTCCACTGAGATGTTGCCTTCACCAACAACTATTATTATCTATTGAGAGAAACTGAGTAAGAGGTGAAGAGGCAAGAACAAAGGACAGAAATCCCTAAGAGAAATGAGAATGAAGGTGACAAAATGATCGATAGAAGTTAGAAGAGAGTGGATGAACTGTGAAGTTGTGAATGCAAAAATACCGCTAGCATTTAATTAAAACTGAACCGATAAGGTGTGAAGTATGAACCTGAGTTGACAACTTAAGTGAAAGCGTTCATGCATCACTTTTGAGTTTTTTGGTCAACCCAAACCCAAACTAAATGTTGAAATGGGGCAGCTTTCTGAACTCGAACTAGTTCCGTATTTCAAGAAAATATAGCCAAACATTAAATAGTGCTAGCAAGAAACTTTGGAAAAATGGAGAAATTATTCAATGTTTAAGGAAAAATTATTAAACCACTTGAACTACCCAAGGCACACTAAGAGGGGAAGGGGCAGGGAGAGAATTGGTTTTTTTAAAAAATTTCCTCTCAACAATACAATTTTTTAAAACTTAAACTTAATTACACAAAAGTAAGCACAAGTAATTAATGAAAAAAACATTTTATTCCTTCTAAATTTTTAGGAAAATAAATATCATAGCATTTTTCTCAAAATTTTATTTCTTTTCTAGCATAAGTTGATGCCAAAAAAATATAAAATATTTTTATATTATAATGATAATGAATCTCAATACAGATTTACTTGAAAAGAAATGTGCAAGAAAAATAAAGTGTGATAAGAAAAAAGAAGAATGCGTACACAAAATTTATAGTGGTTCAATCAAATGACCTACA